GCCAACTGCATTGCAGGGATGCATAGGAGGTCTCTTTGGTCTCTTAGTCTCAGAACCCCTTCGTCTAGTATTTCTATTATCGGAGAGAGACCATCCGTAGAACTGGCGCCTTTACGTGCTTTCAGCTTTCAAGCAATGAATTTTAATAGGAAAAATTGTGTTGTTAAATTATCTGTGTATCTGACGCGGGATTTCGAGGCCGCGGCGCGTAGCGGTTGTACCAATTACTCAGCCCAATTTTATGTTTCAGCCTCCGGATATGGCCTGGGTGATATGGATGTTATATTCCACTTGTTCCACAGGTTTGTATAAAAAATGTTTTGATTAAAAAATAGACAATTAGAGCAATACAAACTTCCTGAAAGTCTGTACAGAATGGCAATCTATATTTTGGTGCAATTTTAGTTGGTATACATTTACTTTCAAAAACATTGCACTGTGCAGTGTAATACTTATATTTTAATTTTTTTGTTCTTGTTTAGGGGGAGCCCGGACATAAGCGAGCCTCTGCTGCCCACCGCAAACTCCGTCATGCAATCTTCATTCTCTCCCTTCCGCCCCACTGTAATAACTATCCATAACAGTGGTGAAGCCGTCACTGGAAACTTCAATGCATTTACTATTCCTGGTAACTATTTTTAACATTAGATTAAAGAAGGTATAATAAAGACTTTTAGCCGAAGTTAATAACTGATTTATTTGATCGAGATCTATTTTTAACACTATATAGTTGTATGGAGTGTTGAGTTTTTATCAAGAACAAATACTGAGGTTTTGGATTTGTATTGTTTTTTAATTGTAAGCAATTATAGGGTAGGTATCCTACGTACCTATATATTGACATATATAGGACTATTTCTCACAATATGTAAAAGAAATATAGTAGAGGTATTAAAAATGTGTTGTTTTTTTGTTAGCACACTTGGCTGCTCAAGACGTCAACTTGATTGCTGTCGACTGGAGTGCTGGCTCTTCAATGTACTCGCAGGGTCTCGCTAACGCTGTGCAATGTGGACAGCGCATCGCGTCATTCATCAACCTTTTGGCCAATATCGCCGCATACGGTCCAGAAAACTATCGCATTGTAGGGGTCGGTCTTGGTGGACATATTGCCGGTATTGCTGCTTCACACGTCACCAGCGGTGCAATTGGTAAAATTGTTGGTAAGTTAATGTTCTGCTACATTTTGTATTTTTAGTTTAGTTGTACATGCATGTAGTATAATAAAATCGTAGGAATGTCAAAACTGTACTTTAAATATTTCTTAAAAGAATACTTGGGATGTGAACTCGAGTCGATATCGAAGCCAAAAATATTGAATCCGTGGGTGATTCAATATTTTTGGCTTAAAGCGGAGAAGCTGTGAAGAAGTATTTAAAATAACTGTTCCACGCGATGAAGTCGCGGGCACAGCTACTAGCCAAAATAATAATATTATGCCCGCCACCTGAACCGGCCTCGCTCTGTAGTGAGACGTGTGACAACTCGATGCAGTGACATATGTAGTCTCATTAGTACATTTAAAGCCTCGCATATCAAAAATATATCATATATAAATACACGATTTTCTCTTTACAGCTATCGATCCTTCTTACTTCGGGTGGACTCACAACCCTAACATTCTAAGCGCCGACAAAGCTACTGTAGTAGAAGTTCTCCACGCTACCGCTGGTGTCCTCGGCTACGATTACCCCTTGGGAGACCTTGACTTTTACCCCAACGGTGGTACCTATCAAACTGGTTGCGGTGCTGATATCTCTTGCTCCCACATTTTGAGTTACGCCTTCTATGCTGAGTCTCTAACTGCTGTGGGTGGTAGCCAATTTGTTGCTACAGCTTGTGAGAGTTACGAGGAAGCTGTTTCTCAAACATGCTCTGGGGATAAGGGAGTAGTCTTCGGTGGCATCGGAGATAAGACCGGGTGAGAATATTTTCATAAGACTCAGTTAAGACCACCTATAACAAGTGCTGTAGTGACTAATTACTAACACGATATTTCTTACTTTTCAGTCAATCCGGTATCTATTCGTTCCAGACTAACTTCGTGCCTCCGTTCGCTCAGGGTTAATGAGATTTATCTATTCTGAGTTATATCTGAAAATGACAACTAAATAAATAAAGTATTTAACATCCCGTCTATTTGTTATTTAATATTTATAAGAGTACCACAAACCCATCAATAAATATATATTTGTTGACCTAATAATGATTTTCATTTAATAAGTACTTTTTTACTGTTAAACGACGACTATCAGTTTAGCAACATTTAGCAATCAGACCATTTTACCCAGATAAGGGCTATCGATATAAACTCATCAAAACTAAATAAGGCTATAAAATAATATAAGCTATCAAATTGGTGTACATGACCCTGGTTAGAAGCAAGCTAGAATCTGTATCTCTGGTATGGAGTCCGCATGAGGTTACTTAAGCTCTGATACTTGAAAAGGTGCAAAAATCGTTTTTGAGGTTTTGCTATTACCGGAAAACGGTTTGGCTATTATCCTTTTCTGTACCCCACTAAGTTTCTGTTAAGCATGTTAAGGCGTAATTACTCCTTAATGATTATGAGTTGTAAGACGCTGCGAGGTGAATCTGACTGTCCAGAGATTGTAGGTCAGGTGGTGCGGTTATCAGTACCGAGGCTGCTCACACACCAACTTCGACCGCGTCAACATCCCTTATTGGCTGTACCAGAAGCACGTACAGTGGCCCATGCAAATTCTTCGCTGGTTCGGACCAGGTCAGGAGAGGATTGAGCATGGTGAGTACCCGAGTACTCACCATGCTCAATCCTCTCCTGATGTCAGTACCAGAGTGTTATTTATTTGCAATGAGATGGATAGATGTGTGTCGTGAATGTTTAAGATTTTGTGAGAGGATGGATGATACGTAGCTAATTATAATGTTAATGTTTGTGTCAAGTTACAATTACTCTAATTACCAAATTTGTTATTCAATTGTATGATTTTTTTTGGTTATTCTTATCTTTTATTTGGTTCAATAGATTTGAGACTAGGTCTCATTGTAGTTCAGGTCACGGTAAAAGTCGAATATTGGTGGCAGAAAGAGGTATTTTTGTCGTATTGGTTGTTTATGAAAGGGCATGGCCTTATAAAAACACCAAACCATGATCTACTTTTCAAGAATATGGAATGCCATGAGATCGAATTAGTCGCTCAATGTAACTCCCAACTGGTACATTCAGAATAATCAGTTCTCTTTAACTTACTAAGCAAATTCCGCTTAAGACCATAACGTTTCAATTAGGAAAACGGTTAGTTTTTTTTATGGCATTAGCCGGTAAACGAGCAGACGGATCACCTGATGGTAAGCAATCGGCGTCGCCCATGGACACCTGGAACACCAGAAGCGTTAAAAGTGCGTTACCAGCCTTTTGGGGATTAGGAGTTTGAGGATCGTTGGGGATTCAGAGATTGGGGAGATTGGGGAAGGGGAGGGTAATTGGGCCTCCGGTAACCTCACTCACACGACGAAACACAACGCAAGCGTTGCTTCACGTCGGTTTTCTGTGAGGCCGTGGTATCACTCCGGTCGAGCCGGCCCATTCGTGCCGAAGCATGGCTTTCCCACACTTAAAGTTTGTTCCGTGGATATAAAGTATTAAATTATTACTCTATACTAGTATTCGTCTGTAAATACTACAAACTTGAACTATCTTTGATCTCAAAAGAGTAGCATGCTCCAGTTTTCATTGTTTAGTTCAAATATTTGTGATGACTACTTAAACGAGCTACACGGTGAACTCTGACCACTTTAGGTCGAAAATAATGTACCTTGGAACATTAAGCGTATTCATAGACTTGATTTGGATTGGTTTTTTCGATAGCACATGTACCGTCAGATTGCAGTAATGGATTTTGTAAGGCGCAACTAATCACGAAACGCTCCTAACTTCCAAAAAACAATATACTGGGCATTATAAGCAATATCAAGTCTAGTGCTTCTTCTAAGTATCCCGAATAGACTCGGGAATCTTTCGGTAGCACTTTCACACCAGTTACCCTCCTCGTGATACACTATCAGAAATTGCTACACCTCTCTAAAACTCTCCCTACTGAAGCAAAGCAACTCCACTAATCACTTTGAAAATCAGCCATAATATTCACAATTAACACAAAAACCAAACAAAAAGCAACATTTAATTATCGTTGTAAGTAATTGTGAGTAATCGCTCTTCAAGTTAGACCACAAACTCAAGACATAAAATTTCTTCATATCTCGTTTTTAAAAACATTCATTTCTGCTTACCGCTCAATAAAACCGAGGGGAACTTTCGAAAATTCTAGGGGCCAGTAATGCGTTTATTATGTTTTTCAATTAGGATTTTTAAACACTACTATTTTATAAGGGTCTGGAGTCGACCTAATGATGGAGTCGACAGACAGTCGAGAGAACTCCTCCGCGCTTTATATTAACTACCTTGTGTTTGAGCTTGATTAATTTGTATTGATGAGGACTTTACACCTAGATAGAGTGGGACTGTCATTCTGGGGTCTGATGATGAACAAGCGTAATTGTTAAGGGACCTCCTTGAATGTTAGTCAAAACGAACTATCGTCGCTGACATAGTCCAGCAGGTAAACAAGCTGAAGTGGCAGTGGGCGGGCACATAGCTTGAAAAACGGAGGAGCGGCAGATAAGAAAGGGTTTCAAATCTCAAATGAAGGCACGCATCAGCAAGTGATTTCTACCCAAAAGGTGGACAGACGCCTGGATTGGTCGCAGGAAACCACTGGATGCAGTCGGCTTATGTTGGCTGACATGATGACGATGACATAGTTTTGTACCAGACAGTTCCATGATACTTTTAGCGATGATCTACTTAATTTTTTTTCGGTATAATTTGTTATCAAGGGTCTTAGTTTTATTTAAAAAGTTTAATAATTATCTTTGACTGGATTACCAATACCTATGTAATCAAAGATAAATACTATAAATATGTATCCGGTTACTTTCACTGAATTAGTTTGAACAAAATGGCCGCGCTCGTGAAGTTATTGATCGTCCTGTGCACTGCTGTTGCAGGTACGAAACTTGTGTTTATTTTTTTACCTTTCTATAATACAGTAACTAGGTACGCTTAGCTTGCGTAAAAAATCCCGTATGAAGTAACTTTATAAAATTACTTGTTAGATTTCAATTAGGAAATAAGATAGATAAAAGCAACTGTGTGGCAAAATCCCAAATTAATTGATTGAGGTTACGTCGGCTACAGTATTTACTTATTTACCTGTATCGGTAGATGATAGGAAGTTAAAATAAGTAGTTTAGTGACAACAAGTGCGACTACCACAAAACATTAAATTCAATCCCTTCCGCTTCACTCAGTGGAGGAACCATTGGATGATTTTCGAGCCACAAAAAATTAAAAAGGGATGATTCTCGCTGAAGTGATAAACTCAAGTCTTTCTCTGTAGAAGTACCTACCTAAGAGGCCTACATTTTGTCACCATGTGTTACATACAATTTAGATAATAAATTATTAATTGTCTGGCGGCAAGCAACACTCAGATTAAACAAAAATATCATTGAGTTTTCCGATGTTCAAATTCTTTACAAACCATGAAGTGTACAATGATTGTGGCCTGTGCATTATGGGTGTGTATTATAGCCTTATAAAGAAACATTCATTATAAAAATTATTTTACAAAAAAAATATTGCAGATAGATTAGTGTGAGGCATTGCACTGCACTGCAACGCTGCACCAGCTCTATATTATTACAAAACAAAAAGAAAACCATTTTTTTTATTTCTACATGACTCTTTAGTAACTATCTACTTAATACATCATATTATTTAACTCGTCGAGTACCGTATTTATAGACACAATTAAAGAACAATAGGTCGCGGTCACCGGTGACCGCTTGGTGTTTGACAGTTTTAAATAATTATATTGTCGATCTATCAATCAAACAGTAAATTAGATAATGTCATAAAAGCACCCATAGGTATACCACCCATCACAGAATTTTAAAATATCTAATCTCTTAATTTCGCGTTCTCTAGGTACATGACATTAAGATTTTGAAATTGATTATTGCCATGTGTGATAATTACGTTTGTAATTAAGGAGGATAATTAAATAATTAAAACCGATATGGTGCGTCTTCGCCTCTCTACGAACCAATAAACAAATATTTTAACTATCAACTTTTTGGTCAATTGCAACATTGTTTTTTAACATCTCACCATATGTTCTATTGACATCCCAAGCTATGATATAAAATATATCAAAGGTGCATCAAGACACTTCGTGATTTCCGTCCATGTACCTCTAGATAAAAAAATACTATTTAAAGTAAGATTTAAAAAAAAATACTAACTATTGTAAAAACATATTTTACATAACCACGACACGTAGTAACTATTAAGTAATCTGTGCTACGCAGTTAAAATTGACATCGGTCGGCACGGCTTTTAGGTTTTTGGAAGCTAGAAATAGTGGGTTGAATGTAACAGAGAATATTCTATTCATATTGCAAGTAAACCATATATTTATTGTCATTGTTACCAGCTACGCGAATCATGGTTAAAATTGTTTGTTTTTCGGTCACCGTAATCATTTAATCTAAAATATGTGGATTATTTTCAGTAATCCAATCTTAATGCAAAACCTTTCTGACATACAATATCGGCGCGATGCATTATTTATGATTGTAATATTGATAAGATTTTTTTTTTTTTGAGTAGGTACCGTAATGTATTTAATTCATACGACAAAAGAAGTGAATTAAAAAGCAAATAATAAACTGGTTATAAGTCGTTTATAGTTCATAAAAATATCTGTTTTCTTCTGACTACTATTACTGTTTTTTTAAGAATTTCTCAGTAGTAGCACGGAGTCTGGAAATGTGCCCAGTGGAATATGGCAATAGGCTCAACCCCTATTACATGGGACGCATATATCAATAGTTAAAAGTGGGTGTTACATTGTACAGTGGCATTAAGTGCCGTAATTTGCACAAACACCTCTGCCTACCCCTTCGGAGATAAAAGGCGTGATGTCATGTTTTGCAATCTTATCAGATATAAATGTAACAGGGTAACAAAACAGTTTTAATTATCTTTAATGAATAATCCACTCTTGTATTTTCTACCATCAATTAAAATATCATTAATTCCATCATCTTTGATCGATACGTGAATTCGACTTCGCGGCGCGCGGTCGTGGGTGGGGTATACTTGTACAGAAACTTTACCATTAACCCATAGGAAAGCCTATGCCTAGGGTTAATCGTGAAGTGAATGATTAATCATATTAATATATTTTTTATATGTTTTAGCCTCTGGGCATGGCCTGGGACCCACGGATGTTGAATTCCATTTGTTCCACAGGTTTGTATGAAAAAATTAAATTATTAAGTAAAAGTGTAGAGTAATTTCAATGGACCTAATTTTATTATATAATTATTTTTTATAACAAATCTTTGCATGTCAAGTGAAGGCAAAATATGGAGAAACTGTATACTTTGTTAACACCTATATATTATGTATCCATGTTTGCAAATGATAACATGAATATGAATTAATTTGTTTATGTACAATGCACAGAATGGCAGTATATTTTGGTGGAATTTTAGCTACTAACAAACTACAAAGATGTGATCAAAATCAAATACTTAACGTTTACCCCCGGGCGTTTACCCCTTTCTAATGACAGAACTGTTTGATATTATTATATGGGTCATTGTCATAACCGCCTAAAATTGTGTTACATACAGAAAAAAAAACTTAAATGTAAATAAAATACCATGTTAATATTTTATAGTAAAGATAAATAATCAATAATTCAAAATGTATTTATCGTAATTTCAAATAAAATTAAAATAAAGTATTTATTAAACAATTTCGACAGAAAAGTCCGCTTCGGTGGGCTGTTACCGCTCTCCCTCTTTATGCAAATTCGATCATATTATAATGAAAACTAATATGCACAGTTAACCTTTGAATATGTTTTCCCAAAATAGATATGCTAATTACTTTAATAACTAAAAACTAAAAATAACGAATTAAAATAAAAACACTTTTTGTTCATTGCAATATTGTTACTAAAATCTACATCTATTTGGTGGACTTAAATCATTAATAAAAATTATTATGAAGATAATAACATTTTGTAAACGGAACGTAATTCATGAACGCGTCCAATACCCAGCTGATCACGCGCAGCGCCCTTTTTGACGCGGCTCGCATACGAACGAAATTATTGTTCCTTGTTTAAAAATAGCTGATGGTGTCAAAGTTGAGTGTATCTTTTCGGTTCCTTGTGTATTTTAGCAAGTGAAACCCTAATAATTCATAACTTAACGTTATGTGTTAGATTTCTATAGTATTTATCTAAAAAGACTTGTGGTTTTAAGATAACCGCAAAATAATGCTTGGAATGAAATAATTTGTCAGAAAAATCCATTTGGTGGACATCTTTTCGGTGGAATTTGTGTCCACCAAAAAGATGAATGTCCACCAAGTAGATGAAATATTTTATTTTTGTTTTGTGCACTCTGATTTTGCATGTGGTTGTTAATGCGAATTAGATTTTAACTGCATAATAGAAATATTGCATTCGGGAGGCGGTTTTTACGAATAATATTATTATTGCGGATACTGTTTTTGGCGTTTTACGTTGAATGTGCTATGTATGCTGTTGCTTTATGTATTATTAAAGTAGAATAATATCAACGATACACGAATAAAGTACCTAAGCTACTTGACATGTTTCCATCGCATTCAAAAATCATCTTCAGGGTGATGTCAGATTCTCCTAGACAATGACTAAATTTGTCGGCTTGCAGTTGACTTATACGTGAAACATTTATTTGTTTTCCATTTTCCATTTCGTTTGTGCTCTGTGCCTTGTTTAGGCTTCCTTTTTTTCTTTATCCACAAACAATTGCTAGAACTAGAAATAAATTTACTGAAGATGCGAAGAAGAATAGAAGACGCGATCAGAAAAAGTTAAGTAAGAAAGATCCAGTAGCATTAGAAGAAAAGCGGAAAAAGGATAGAGAGTACTACCATAGGAAAAAATCACTAGGAGAAATTAACACAATAAATGATTTATCAGATAGACAGCAGAGACAACTACAAAACAAATGGAGAAAGGACGCAAAATCACGTAGAGATAGACTAAAGAAACAAGAAGACTTAGGTTGTATAAGTCTTGACTTACCACTACACAATTTGCACGTTAAAACCCCAGTTCAGTGTTCTATTCCCAGCCCTTTACCGAGTCAACCAAGCCCATTAATGAGTCCTAACTGAACTCCAATAGTCCAACAGTTGCTCAACTCGATAGATAGATAAAAGTTGAGGCCAACAATTACTGAGACAGAAAGCAATGATTTTCAAAAACCAACCTGCTCCAAGGTCATGCAAGGCCTTAAAAGTCGTTAAAACCTTAAGTTTGCCGATGTTTACTCCGACAGTTCATGTTCACCACCTACTTCAAGACCCGAAACTCCGATAGAAGTACACAAGACGTATTTTCAACATTTTTGGTCGTCATCCGAGAATGAAGATATTATGTCCACCAAGAAGACATAGTGTTTTTGGTGGACAAAAGGCATTATTTTATTGTAATTTACTTTTCAATGATACTGCGTTGACTTTTTTTTATCGTTTTCTGTGAGACGATGGGATTAATATTATAGAAACAAGATTCTATTATTATGTTAAGATTGTTGCTAAATTACACTTTTAGTACATTCGGTAGACATCTGTGTCTTTTCGGTGGACCTATAAAAACATTGTTTTTAAATAACTATACTAATTGTTAAGTTTGATCTCAGACAATAATTTATTATTGTTACAATTAATCATTTTTATTAAATGAAGGACAAATTCTTTAGAAATAATTGTATTTGTTTTATTTTTTTATCTGAACCCTGTTTTGACAATGACCCATACATACACATGCATGCAATATCATACATCCTTTATGATTGTAAATCTAAGATGGTCGCCGTAATAAATCGGCGTATATGGATATCAAATGAAAAGGCTTGATTGAAAACCGGTTAACATAAAATATATTTTACTTGTTATTTATATTTGGCTCCTTACCATACATTCACTTTCATAACCATTGAACAGTGCAGAGTAAATTTTAAAGTTCCTTAATTTATATAAATATGATAAATCAGTAAGACTGGTAGAAAATGCCAAGGGCTTTAAGTCCACCCTTCTGCTTCTTTGTGTGCATTTAATAAACATGTAGTACATATATATGTATACTTCAAATTATTTTTGTTTTGTTCAGGGGGAGCCCGACGGTGAGCGAGCCTTTGCTGCCCACACAAAACTCACTGCTGCAATCCTCAATCTCTATCTTACGGCCCACTGTAATAACTATCCATAACTATGGCGAAAAGGTTTTTGGAAATTTCAATGCCTTTGTTGTTCCTGGTAATAATTTATTACAATACATTAAAGACTTTCTATCGACCACTATAATATTTAAATATTTATAATTAATACCCACTTAAATACTATTATTTATTTACCATAATCACACTATTATTATAAATGTGAAAATTTCTTTGTTTGGATGTTTGTCTGTCAATCACGCTGAAACTACTGAACGAATTTTGATGCAATTTGCAGAGTATAGGCAGAGTATGGGCTGACTTAGGTGTCAGGACTTTTTATCCCGATTAAATGCTCCCGTGAGATAAAACAGGAATCATATTCTACGCGGACGAAGTTTCGGGTCATATCTAGTTCATATAATATTACTAAGGTCATTAAGCCTTAAGTTCTGTAACCACTTCTTGTAACAAAAATGTAACGGAAAGGTACTGCCTCCTGAAATACAGGCATCGCCTAGTTCAGGAGACAGAGCTTGATAGAACTAGAAATTGATATGTAAATAAATAAATAATTATTAAAGAAGAAAATGTACACAATTTTTTAAAGACTGGTCGATATTACAATCTTTCTGGATCTAAAATATATAATATACCATTTGAAAACTATGTAATGGAGGTATTAAGAATGTGTTTTTTTTTGCTAGCGCACTTGTTTGCTGAAGACGTCAACTTGATTGCTGTCGGCTGGAGTGCCGGCTCTGAATTGTACTCGCAGGGTCTCGCTAATGCTGTGGAGTGTGGAGAGCGCATCGCATATTTCATCGATTTTTTGGCCGGCTTGGCCAATTACGGTCCAGAAAACTATCGTATTGTAGGTGTCGGTCTTGGTGGACATATTGCCGGTATTGCTGCTTCACACGTTCATTGGGGTAGGATTCGTCATATTGTTGGTAAGTCAACGTTCTGTTACATTCAGTTAGATGTACAGTATAACAAAATAACATTATACCCATCGCCACAATCGGATGCTTGCTCTTTTTTTAAGGGTTTAAAATCATCGAATATATTCTCCTGACAATGTGAGGCGGGAGGGCGAGTCAGACTCTTACTGACTAAAAACCACCCCGCCCCCTTAATTCTGCGCTTCGAGCCAGAGCCGCGACACCCCGTTAAGTCCTCCGCGGCTCCGTATCGTATGGTCAAGTCTGTCGGTCAGTTTTCAACCGACTTCAAAAAAAGGAGGAGGTTCTCAATTCGACCCGTATGTTTTTTTTTTTTTTTTTTTTTTTTATATTTGTTACGCGATTACTCCGCCAATTATGAACCGATTTGAAAAATTCTTTTTTCGGCGTATAGGTAATACCTCAAGGTTGGTCCCATTTAAATTTACTAATAAAAATAACAACCCCCAAGGGTGGAAAATAGGGGATGAATTTATTTATACGCAATAACTCCGCCGATTTTAAACCAATTTGAACGATTATTTTTTTATTGAATAGGTATTATCAAAAGGGTGGTTTCATGCGAATTTGAAGAAAATATTTCACCCCCAAGGGTGGAAAATTGGGGGATGATTTTTTTATACGCAATATCTCCGCCGATTATGAACCAATTTGAACTATTATTTTTTTTGTTGAATAGGTATTATCAAAAGGATGGTTTCATGCGAATTTGAAGAAAATATTTCAACCCCCAAGGGTGGAAAATTGGGGATGAAATTTTTTATGAAAGTCTAGAAGTCCGCTGCTCATCACTCTCCTTTAATATATTTTTAGCATTTCTTTCTCTACTTTCTTTTAAACGCACTTCCCTTTCTTCTTTTGTTTCCTCCAAACGGCGCTGTCTCATTAAGGCTGCGCGTTTAGTAGGCCTACCCATATTAAATGCACTAAGGGTATCTACAAAAAAGTAACACTAAAAATTTTAAAATAAAATAATTAACTTTTTAAAAAAAATAAAACCGACTTCAAATGCGAGAACACAAAAAAAAACTAAAAATTAAAAATAATTCCTAATACCTATTACCTAATACTATAATTTTTCTAAACTATATCAAAGTAATTAAAGTTAAACCATCTAAATATCTTAAAATAGTTATACTTATATACCTACCTATTGTTTTTTGGAGTCGGTGCCAGTGCCAGCGTATTAAAGTTTACCCGCGAACTAGAGACGTGCGACGCGGTGGCGGGGGACGCATGGCGCGTGCGGTCTTGCTCGAGTAAGCGACCCGAAGGCGGGCAGACGCTTGAGGGCAGACTACGTTGACGCTCGTGTCAAAAATACTGAATTTTCGGATGCGCAATATTCAAATTATTGCTTTCTTTTTTGTTTGTTGTATTCTATTGTAGGATTTGTAGGTATTTGTTATTCTTTGTTGGTATAGGTTTAGTTGTACCAGGCTACATACAACTTATTTCTTAATATTTTTGTTTCATTGAGTACTTTTTCTTATTTCATTAGGTTTAATATTCATTTATTACTGGCACCGACTCCAAAAAACAATAGGTAGGTATATAAGTATAACTATTTTAAGATATTTAGATGGTTTAACTTTAATTACTTTGATATAGTTTAGAAAAATTATAGTATTAGGTAATAGGTATTAGGAATTATTTTTTAATTTTTAGTTTTTTTTTGTGTTCTCGCATTTGAAGTCGGTTTTATTTTTTTTAAAAAGTTAATTATTTTATTTTAAAATTTTTAGTGTTACTTTTTTGTAGATACCCTTAGTGCATTTAATATGGGTAGGCCTACTAAACGCGCAGCCTTAATGAGACAGCGCCGTTTGGAGGAAACAAAAGAAGAAAGGGAAGTGCGTTTAAAAGAAAGTAGAGAAAGAAATGCTAAAAATATATTAAAGGAGAGTGATGAGCAGCGGACTTCTAGACTTTCATAAAAAATTTCATCCCCAATTTTCCACCCTTGGGGGTTGAAATATTTTCTTCAAATTCGCATGAAACCATCCTTTTGATAATACCTATTCAACAAAAAAATAATAGTTCAAATTGGTTCATAATCGGCGGAGATATTGCGTATAAAAAAATCATCCCCCAATTTTCCACCCTTGGGGGTGAAATATTTTCTTCAAATTCGCATGAAACCACCCTTTTGATAATACCTATTCAATAAAAAAATAATCGTTCAAATTGGTTTAAAATCGGCGGAGTTATTGCGTATAAATAAATTCATCCCCTATTTTCCACCCTTGGGGGTTGTTATTTTTATTAGTAAATTTAAATGGGACCAACCTTGAGGTATTACCTATACGCCGAAAAAAGAATTTTTCAAATCGGTTCATAATTGGCGGAGTAATCGCGTAACAAATATAGAAAAAAAAAAAAAAAAAAAAAAAAACATACGGGTCGAATTGAGAACCTCCTCCTTTTTTTGAAGTCGGTTGAAAAAAAAATAAAACCGACTTCAAATGCGAGAACACAAAAAAAAACTAAAAATTAAAAAATAATTCCTAATACCTATTACCTAATACTATAATTTTTCTAAACTATATCAAAGTAATTAAAGTTAAACCATCTAAATATCTTAAAATAGTTATACTTATATACCTACCTATTGTTTTTTGGAGTCGGTGCCAGTAATAAATGAATATTAAACCTAATGAAATAAGAAAAAGTACTCAATGAAACAAAAATATTAAGAAATAAGTTGTATGTAGCCTGGTACAACTAAACCTATACCAACAAAGAATAACAAATACCTACAAATCCTACAATAGAATACAACAAACAAAAAAGAAAGCAATAATTTGAAATATTGCGCATCCGAAAATTCAGTATTTTTGACACGAGCGTCAACGTAGTCTGCCCTCAAGCGTCTGCCCGCCTTCGGGTCGCTTACTCGAGCAAGACCGCACGCGCCATGCGTCCCCCGCCACCGCGTCGCACGTCTCTAGTTCGCGGGTAAACTTTAATACGCTGGCACTGGCACCGACTCCAAAAAACAATAGGTAGGTAGGTATATAAGTATAACTATTTTAAGATATTTAGATGGTTTAACTTTAATTACTTTGATATAGTTTAGAAAAATTATAGTATTAGGTAATAGGTATTAGGAATTATTTTTTAATTTTTAGTTTTTTTTTGTGTTCTCGCATTTGAAGTCGGTTTTATTTTTTTTAAAAAGTTAATTATTTTTTACATAGAGAGCCCGCGAAACACTGGGACATGCATGCTTCTCCAACGAACCTCACGGCGACATTAGCGGGAGCGGGGGTGGGAACTGGTTAAAATACGCAGTCAGTGTTTCGGCGCAACGGTTGATTTTTAAATTCATTAGGTTTTGAGAAATTACTGCGGCCCAAGGAAAAAGCCGGCTCAGTGATCGCAACCTTGCCCTACATTTTATATTTGTATTATAACTTTCATGAGACATACTAAATTAATAATTATATTTTCGGCTTACCCACGTAACTGTTTGACGAGAAACTCGACTAATTTCAAGCTTGAGGCTCATATTCATGAGTAGCATTCCACGAAACACGACGCGGCGAGCTGCGGTGCGCGCCCTGCGCGCCTTTTGCCGTGATTCATGCGCACTTTCCTCTGTCTGTGTCTAGACTCAAGGAACACGCATACATACGCAGTGTGAAGAACTGAAAAACTCATACATCGGCAGTAGCCGAGTATACTTATGGCACAGGCTCATCTCACTTCCTCCGTTTCTACAAGGTCTCCGCTCTCGCGAAGGAAAAATACTTTGTACCGGAGACAGTAGGACGTGAGGGCATCAAAATAAGTCGTCGTCCGAACTTCAACATAGGCGGTGGCTGAGCACTACCACCTCCTGGCAGCCGAGTCTAAAATCTGCGTCAGATTACAATGTTGCGGATCTGAAGTGTGACACATTGAGCGCGGTATATAGCACTGTTTTTGCGTCGACTGGGGATTCGAATCAAACACCTATGCAGCTGCCGCCGAACGAGTGTAACGTGCCATAAGATAGAGTAAAGTGCGCGTGAATCACGGCCGAGTGCGCGCTGGACGCGAACAGCAGACTCGAGTAACTAGTAGCAGCGCCGCACGACAGTCGTTGCGTCGTGTGTCGCGGAATGCTTGCTCTTGCCTCTAGTCTAGCTTGAAACTAGTCGAGTTCCTCATCAAACAGTTACGTGATCGTGGATTTAAAGAAATTCATATAAGAAATATGCGATTTTCTCTTTACAGCTATCGATCCTTCCCTCATCGGCTGGACTCACAACCCTCACATTCTGAGCGCCGACAAAGCTACTGTAGTAGAGGTTCTCCACGGTACCGCTGGTGTCCTCGGCTACGACTACCCCTTGGGAGACCTTGACTTTTACCCCAACGGTGGTACCTATCAAACTGGTTGCGGTATTGATATCTCTTGCTCCCACATTTTGAGTTACGCCTTCTATGCTGAGTCTCTAACTGCTGTGGGTGGTAGCCAATTTGTTGCTACAGCTTGTGAGAGTTACGAGGAAGCTGTTGCTCAAACATGCTCTGGAGATAAGGGAGTAGTTTTCGGTGGCATCGGAGATAAGACCGGGTGAGAATATTTTAATATGACTCAGTTAAGATCTCCTATAACAAGTGATGTAGTGACTAATTACTAACACGATATCTGTTACTTTTCAGTCAATCCGGTATCTATTCGTTCCAGACTAACTTCGTGCCTCCGTTCGCTCAGGGCTAAAAATTCATTTATTCTGAGTTTTACCTGACAACAAGAAAAGAAAAAAAACTACCATTAATTAACAATAATAAAAATATTAAAAAAATAAAACCTAAAATATTATAATGTGGGGAGGGGTAACGTGTTTGGTTAAATAAATGTGTATGCTTTAATTTCATCACTCTTACTTTCCTATAATTCGTAGGTAGGTTAGTTAACTTGCAATATCCGTAAGTTGAACAATATCTAGTAAAAAAATTAGATCGGTCTTGTAGATCCGGAGATATGCGAACACAAACATAAAAACATAGAGACATTACATATATACTTTTGAAATTTCTCAGATTTGTTCAGACGCTGATATAGATTAACATAAATATGAAAACTGGGCTGTTCTGGAAATATTACATACATACGGGTCGAATTTATAAACTTCCTTTTTTGAAGTTGGTTAAAAATAATAGGACCACACACAATACACATAGACTTATCATTGTGGCATTTAGATCAATGGCTGATATTAAAACGTCATTCTTCAATCAATCAATCATATGTAATTGGTATGAGATATCTTTAAAATCGTACTAAATCTCAATAATTAACTTTCGTAAGTACTTTACAAATATTTCACAATATTATTTTAAATTAACTAAGATGTTAAGACACGCTATAATTGGACTTCAAAGTTCGTACAAAAATTCGTGCGGCGTAGATATTCTTAGGAGTCATATTTAGTAGAGAAGAGAAGATAGGCGGCTTGAAAATCAAAATTGAATGAAAACCGAGGAAGACGGCATAAACAGAAGGAAGTTTACACGCTAAAGGTGAACACAGCTAATAGTGGAGCAGATGAAACTGGGCTAACAAAAGTGGCAGATGCTCTCAATATATCTATCAGTCATAAATTGCCAATTATGTGCAAAAATTAAACAACCAAATAAAACACAAATAATTTTGTGACATAATTTATGTAAGATTGAAATACGATGAAAATGTAACACTAATCAATAAACAAATGACTACTTCTGGGAAAAAAGTCCGTAATTTCAAAATAAAATTAATTTGAAATGAGAATTCTTAGCCAAACAAAAATTATTTTGATTTGAAATGGCCAGTACTGCGGAACGGCAATTTCATAGGTAAAGACCTAACATACCTTTCTACTGCATCTATGTGTATTGAGAGTAAATTTTTAGAAATAAATATAATTATTCTTCTAGTAGGATGAGGACTTCATTTTTTCATCATTTACAATGATAATAACGTAAATGAGATATTGGCAATGTGAGCAACACTTCAAAAAAGATTTACGTATGAAACGATGTAGAGTCTACCTACTCAGCACAGGAATCATATAGATCATTTTATCTTCATTTTCTATGAGACAAAATACCCGTGCTCACAATAATGTGTTTCTAACTGCGCCTCGTGTCGTAGAACAACAAAATGAATAATATTTCATCTATGAATCATATTTTTTTTAAATTACGGCGTTTATTCACTTATTCTTGTTTTATCTCAAGGTTACTTATTTTTACCTGTACTAACATCACGTAAAAGCATACCAAATAAAAAGCTTATGTTATAGTATTTAGCTGCACCAGGATGATTGGATTTCAATTACCTAACTAAATACATTTTCTTCATAAACTAGCTTCTGCTCACGGTTTCGCTAACGCTCATATCAAAGATGGGCTGCATGATTTTTACGCTGCTCACAAATAACCCGCATACCAATTTTTAGATTTCTATCTTGAAAATTGCGAAATGCTCTATACAAGTTTCAGGGAAAATCAAAAGAGGGGTTCGAAAGAGACAAAAAGTAGCCTATGTTCTGTATCCATCCTTTCAACTATAGACATATCTCCATTCAATAAATAATATGACGTCAATTTCTAGGCCCACTCTGTCGTCAAAGACGGACAAACAAACAGACACACATAAATATATAACGTGAAGAATAGATTTTATCTCATTTTTGACAAGTTGGTTTTATGCCAGTGGATCATTGACAATTTATTTATTTTGCTAACATGATATAATATTAAGGTATGTAAATACATAACATGCTGTCAACTATTTAGTTGACAGCATTCTAAAGAGAGAAACCCATGAATGAAATTTTCAGTTAACTTGAAATCGTCTTTGTTTCATAGGTATATCAGAAAGCTAATTATACAGGGATGTATACTAAATTATAACTTAGGTACTGTAACGATTCTGATGAGATTTGTTATACAGCATTGCAATTAACCTCGAAAAGACTAATTAAAATATCCAAATTCGGTCAGAAGTCATAATAATACGCGAACGAAGTCGTGGGGGGAACTGAATCATAAATAAATTGACTGTCTAACATTTGACATAACATCATCCCTCCTTTGATTCCAAAAAAGGAAAGATAAAGATTTACCACAATATAACTTCAATTATTCCGTTTTTTATAAAAGGCTTAAAGCTTTACGTTTTGAGAGTTGAGATAACATTGAGCATTGTCTAGTATTTATTTGCGGATTAAGTATCTATTATCAAGAAACTAATGTTATTACATAACATGTTTGTAATTATATCGCATAACATGAGGTGGTAGTTTGTTTAGTCGTTCTAGTCTCCATTGTCTTGCGGTATGTCTTATCAATTATTATCATGTAATATTATTATACTAATACTATAAATATTGTTTTAGGTAATATAAACTTTCATATTACCATAAATATTTGCTTTATTACTCTGCACGTCTCTAAAGTGAAACACGCTTTTAAAGCAAGGTAAGGTTCAATAAATTAACGAAAATTCAACTATGCAAAATCATGGCTGCAAACACCGAGAAAAGCTACGTGTTAAATGATAAAAACCATTAATCATAAACACATTTTTTGTCCCTTCGTTTAACTTAACGTACTGAAAATAATGTAAACAAACGGTAATTTGCTTTTCTATCGTAGATATCTGTAATATAAATCTGTTTACTGAATCAATAGATTAATTAATCCTGATTGAAACAATCATTTTGATAACACGTTTTATAAAAACGGATATCCATCGAGAACTTACATGCAGTAACCATTGGTCTCGTGAACATGAAGATTTTGGTTGTAGTAGCAGCTTTGGTGGCGTGTTAGTATTTACCTTCTATTTTGTTCTACATATAACATTTTGGAAGGAGGAAAGAATTTCATTTATTTAAATTTATATTATATGTTTTTTTATCAACTATTCAACGTAATCAGGACTTTTTTTCGTTTTATATCACATCATTTTACGACAAAATTTTACATTAATCATTTTTTAGTGTGCTCCGGCCACGCTCTACCCACCGTCCCAGGAGACAACAGCATTATGTTGAGGGAGAGAGCCGCTACATCTGGATGCCTGATGGTGAAGGAACACCTGTTCTTGTTGACCTCAATGAGCCAGTCGATGAAGCTCTGCTGAACTCTAGGAACGGAGCCAACAACGCATACTGGTATACACCAGGTAACCTTCTAAAGTTTAAATCATTGTCTTCTACATCGCAAATGAAACAGTTCTTTATTTTATTCGAAAAACGCATTCACTGTCAACACAGTCAGTATTACCGATACGACGCTAGCGGACGATGTGCCTTCAAAAGTTTTCGGCCTACATCGACGATCAATGACTAAAGTAAGATGGTCGTTGTGTCAGTTATTTAAAGATTTTATCGTTACGATGTCTTTAAATCATTTAGAACATATATTTTACAATACAACATTGTGTTATATTATTTTATTTCTATTGTTTTATAATACCAAATCATAGAGTTTAAGGGTAGTTACCCTTTTAATTAAACCAATTCTTTTAAATTACCTTTCAGGAGTAACCCTAACAACGCTCAAGTCATTGTTAATGGTAACGCAAACACCATCTGGAGCTCTAATTACAACGGTGCCGGCCCTTGAAAATCATTGTTCACGGATGGAACAACAATGGAAATACTGCCATGAACCCACTCATTACTTCTGCCTTCCTTGCTGTAATGGACTGCAACGTCATCGTAGTAGACTGGCGCGCTCTTGCTAACTCCGCGTACAACACTGCCGCCGCTGGTGTCCCCAGTGTAGGCCAGCACCTCGGCAACTTCATCAATTGGCTCATCAACACAGCTGGTGGTAACTGGAACCAAGTCCACTTCGTAGGATTCAGTTTGGGTGCTCACGTAGTCGGAAATGCTGGACGGCAAGTTAGTGGTCGCGCTGCACGTGTTACTGGTAATTATTTGACATTTTATCATAACTATTATGTGAATACGTCTTGTAACATTTGTGAGAATCTAATTTACATTTTCGTTATAGGTTTGGACCCCGCTGGCCCTGGTTGGTCTAACAACGGCAACGCTTTGAACAGCAACGCAGCTCAATACGTGGAGGCTATCCACACCGATGGTCACATTCTTGGTATTCACAACCCTATTGCTAACGCTGACTTCTACCCTAACGGTGGTAAAAACCCTCAGCCTGGTTGTTGGATAAGCACATGCTCCCACGGTCGTTCAACTGAGCTGTTCGCCTCCACTGTGCGCCACAACCACTTGATCGGTAGACAATGCCCCAACATCTGGGAAGCTGAACTCGGAACCTGCAGTGGAGCTTCCTTCCACATGGGTAACTCCATTGTTACCAAACGCGGGTAAGTTTCAAAGTATTTTATTATTAAACTCTAATTACGACTGATGAATAAATTATCCTACAAATTATTTTAACACCCTACTGGCTTTACATCATACGTTGGCACTGAAAATATTGTACGTTAAATAATCCAAAAGAAATATTGATCTTTACAATTACTCACTGCTAAAGTTAGTCGTTATTAGAGACTCACTTATTTTGTGTTCTACTAAGTGCAGTTTCAGTAAGTCGTAATTTTGAAATCTGAATAACATATTTAATTGCTCATTGCTTTACTTTGCAGAAACGGTCTCTTCGCACTCAGAACGGGATCAAGTGGCCTTTCTAAACAATCAACTCTACCTTAACAAAATGTGGACATCTGAATAATGATAT